ATATATATGTACGTATTCTGTCCCAGAACCGGAGCTCACGCTTTGTCGTTACTCTATTCACTTCAGTCTAGAAATTACTGTTTCGTAACACAGTAAACCCCATATCGATTTTCAGGTTTCTCGGCGGTGAATGCTTAGATTGTGGTCTTCTGGTTTGTGACACCATGTAATCTTGTATGTGGATACGAAGGTTTCGGAGGAACATGCTGTCTCCATTATAGGGGTCGAAGTGATTAGGGTGACACTGTGGTGTTGATGACTTGTATGTAAATCGGTCATGCAGTGAACCTTAGCTTCGCAGATGTGAGCTGTACCTTCCGGTGTGGCCCTTGTAGGCTACTTGCACGTGTACTCTGTTAATGTAGTTCCCGCTTTGCCCTGCAGATCACAGTGGCCGCGCTGGGGCCACACGAGCGCACAAAATGCGTCTGTTGTAACGCACGTCGTGACGTCCGTTGTAGAAATAAACAAGAGAGGCGAATGCTACGTTTTCTTCTGGCTCCATTGCAGACAGAAACTACGCACCGCATTCTGCAACTGTGTGGTTCTCAGCAACGTCCGTCATAAAGTACGTTCGTTGCAACGGACATACTTCGTGCGCTCGTGTGGTCCCAGCCTAAAGCATGAAAATGTCTTCGCCCGCTGGAACACTGGGAAAATGGGCTCGAATCCCACTCAAGGAATAGATGTTTGTCTGCATTTATTCTGTGATTATGTTGTCCTGTGCAGGTAGCGGCCTTGCGACACGCTGATCCCCCGTCCAAGGAGTCTTACCGACTGTCTTAATACTTAGAAACTGAAAGGAAAACGAATCGTTTCACGGACGCCCCATGCTCCAAGTGGGAGCAACAGGAATAGATACATAGATTAGATAGACTTCCTCTGTTGAAAGTGCAACACGTGTTGGTGTAGTGATTGTCTCGTGCTGCTATTTTAGGTTGCGTGTAGCGTTTGCATTTCAGCATTAATGATCATGACATTCAGTGTTATCTATACTGCTGTGTTTCCGTAAGCCGTGAAATCGCTTATGAGGTTAGTCGCGAGCTCCTCAAAGCTGCGGTCCGGGTTCGAGCCTAGGTCAGATCATGTGGGATTTGTGGTGGACAAAGAGGCACTCGCGCAGGTTTCTCCGAGTATTTCGGTTTCTCGTGTCAATTCTCTTTCCACAAACTGCTCCACAATCATAATTTATTATCAGTGTCTGGTACAGTAAGTCAAATAGTGGCCAACGTACCAAGTGGTTTCAGTCTCACCCCACGAGGTCCCATGGAAGAGCTCCATAGGCTTACAGAACAGCATAATTAGCGTCTAGTAGAGAGGGTGATTATTAAGAATGCCATCTTCTGCGCAGGAAACATGGAGAGTTGCTGAACCGGCTTGTACGTGTGGCTAACAGAAAAATTCTTGTCCCTGCTGGGAATCGAACTTCGTCCATCCAGCCTATTGCATTACTGACAGAGCTACGAAACAATGTGGGCCCAAATCGTATCGGTACATTTGTTTTATATGGGTGTTGAGCTGGGAGACGGACGTAAGGCCTGAAAATGAAATCGAAAGACCATGCTGTTCTAACTTCCATGACTGTGTTTCTTTATTCTCTGTTGTCGTTGCTTACGGAGGAAGAGTGGAGAAGGGGGGACGTTCATGGGCATGAGGCTCAGGCTCTCGTAGATGAAGGGGGAGAGACCGAGGGTGGGGATGCTGCGGTGTAATCAGAACTAATGACAGGGCTATCATCCGCGTCGATTAAACTCAGATCACCATTTCAAAGCAAATGATGAGGTTGCGCAGGCGCAGTGACGGATATGCAAAGGAGAAGAAAATATCATTGCTCAATTCCGTAGTCATTATATAAATAAAACCAGTATAATCCAAGTACAACAGTGGAGATTATGTTGTGTTCCAGCTAATCACCTACAATACAGGCCTAGTTATAACACTAAGAAAATCATATATACAGTAGTATACAGCTTCCTTTAGGGCGAAAACTGTCCTAATCTCTTTCGACGACTTCTGTATATAGTCCGTCACGTTGCTTGAAAATCAGCCGTGCTGTACCAATCGCTAGGCCTTGCTGTGTCATGTTGACGAGAAGACATGTGAAGAGCGATCTTGTGGCTTGTAACGCCGTGTATTTCTGAGAAGTCCGACGTTTCGAATGAACACAGCCTACATATTCAAGGTCGAAGAGTAAGCCAGACGGCAAGATGCACAGGCGATATGTTATTCCGAAACGTCAGGCTTTCTCCGAACTACCTAGAAGGTTGTAACACTGTGAGAACTTGAGAACCAACAAGGAGACATCTGTATGTCAGCCACACAGATCTCATGTGGGTACACAAGATGTTTAAGAGGTTTTATAATGCAACTCCATCTTGCATCATGGTACAAAGCTCTGAAAAAGCTGATAATGACGCACAGCTGGTAGAGATATTCGTAAGCTTTAATGGAGGTTCGTGATCATGTTCATAAAGCCCTGCCACTGGACCGTATCACGAGTCCGTTCAACCCAGTCCACTATTTCCTTTGAAATCCATTTTAATGTTATCCTCAGCCGCGCCGTATTATCTCAAGAGGGTTTTCCCTTCAGCCTACACAAAAAACCATAGTTTCAATGAAATCTTTATGCCACTTTCAGACTTTAGGAACTAAAGAGAGCTTAGTCGTTAACAGCCACATGTTACGGGCTGGACGGGCGGGGTTCGATTCCCGGTAGGAGCAAGAGACTTTTCTCTTTTGCTCAGCGTCCAGAGCGGCTCTGAGGCCCATCCAGCCTCATATCCAGTGGGTACCGAGGGAATTTCTCCAAGGGTAAAGCGACCGGGGCGTGAAGCTCATCATTCATCTCTACCTCTGAAGAATGGTGGAAATATATCTCCACTGTCCCATACGCCTTCATGTCGTGGTGCTCAATTAATTAGGCACAGGGACAACATTACTTGCAAATTATCAGTACTGTATTACATTAGTTTCGTCACAGTCACTGTAAAGCTGGCAGCAGAATGTAAGGTTTCAAAATTTAAAACCTTTTTATTACGTGTCTTTATGTACATGTAGGGGCACGCGGTAGCGTAGTTGGTTGAGGCACTATGCTACAAGCCGGAAGGTCGCGGGTTCGAGTCCCCAATGAGGTGACTGGATTTTTACAATTGACCTAATCCTTCCAACCGCACTATGGCCCTGGGGTCGACTCAACGTCTAACAGAAATGAGTACCAGGAATATTCTTGGAATGTTCTTGGGGGTAAAGGGCGGCCGGCGCTTGAGGCTGACAACCTTACTGCCATCTATGAGCCGATTGTTTAGAAAACGTGGGAACCTCAACATCTCACAACCCTATGGGTCTCCACGGCCTGGTCCAGGGATAGCTTACTCTTTTTTTTTTTTACTTTATGTACCTGCATGCAGGTGTTTCTTACCATCAGCGCGGTATGTGTGGCTGTATGTTTGCAGAATGACGGGCGGGGATACTGACCTCCATAAGTTGCTGCTGAAAACAGGACTGCAGCAGCATTACAAAATGGCGTGGTCTTCACTGTATGCCAACCTTAACATCAATTTCATGTGACATTCGTCGTCGACGAAGTTGCTATGGAGCATGTTTTCTTTGAGTTCTTTGACTTTTCCCCCGCTAACCACCATTCCACCATTGCTCCACACCGCCTCCTGGGTTGTGCATTTGCTCTGACAAGGCAGCACATAACCACACGCTCGACCGTCAAATTGGGGGCTTCAGCTCTGTCCCGGCACTCGGCTGGATGCAGAATGAGGATACCAAAGTGGGAGTGAGAGTTACAGGTACTTTGCGACTGGCGGTTTACCTCCAATCAGTTCGTCTTGGCAGCAAGCCCCTTGAAACTCACGACCAGTATTTCCCCCCCCCCCTGAACACTTGCATCCCTAGTTCTTATGTAACATGGAGGGTCAGTCCCCTGCATTTATATCCCCCAGGAACAGGGTTCCATTTTCGTTGCATCCTGTGGCTCGCAGGGCCACGGTGGGGGTATTCGATTCCGCCTTCACAGGAGAAAAATGAGGTTGTTTTCTTTCAAGTTTTTTTGTTGCTAGTGGGGTGGGACTAAGTCCCTTGTACTGCGGCCACCCCTGGCCTATTGTACCAGCCACAGATGATAGGCAAGGGTGATTGTGGAGCAATTGGTGGAATGAAGATTGGCAGAGGAAACCGAAGTACTCGGAGAAAACCTGCCCCAGCGCCACTTTGTCCACCACAAATCCCACTTGAGCAGACCCGGGATCGAACCCGGGCCGCCGCGGTGGGAAGCCAGCGACTAACTGCTTGAGCTATGGCGCGGCCCTTTCTTTCAAGTTACATAAATATATTACCTTTATGTGGTTTCTAGAAAACCACAGGACATATGGCCTGTAAAGCTGCCTCTTTTCAAGATCTATTTGTGTTCGGTATATAGGTGAGGCTGTCAGGTCACTCAGAAGCTATACAATTTGTCGACAATGAACATACTCCCACATGTTGTCATGTCACGTCCAATCCAAACAGATGTACATAGTATTTCTGTGTTATTGTGGTTTAGTGGTCAGAGTTCCTGGCTACAGATCGCGGGTTCAGTTCTTGGCGCTACCAGATTTTCTGAGAAGTAGTGGGTCTGGAACGGGGTCCACTCAGCCTCATGATGATAATTGAGGAGCTATTTCAAGGTAATTGCGGCTGTGGTCTAGAAAACCGAAATTAATGACTGTGGGGATTCGTTGGACTGACCATGGGACACCCTCTGTCCGCAAAAGTTGGCACTAACTTTGCCGACAAGCGGCGGTTGCTCGATCAGTATTGTTTGCTTACTGATTAAAAGCCATGGAGTTTTATTTCATGGTTTATGGATTAATGGTTGTGCTAGTACCACATGTAGGATTATGACAATTAAAACGAACATGCCCCCTAACTTGTCATATGTTGCAACGCTGTTGTTACAAGAACAATAATTCTATATCCTAGCTTTATTAATAAAAGTAGACCTAATAACTTGAATGCATTTGTTCACAGGTTTGGGTCTTCCACCAGACTATCTGGGTTCACGTGCCCTTACTGAACTGCAGCCTCCACCCTCTACCATCGGCAGCTCAGAATTCCCCTTCTCCATAGACGGTAAGAAGTCGCCAGCCTGTTTTAATGAAAATCTATATAATAATTAAAGATCACTGAGATATTGGTCTTGAGTAATAATTATTCAGTGGAAATACACGGGAGAATTGAATGTTTAATATCTCTTGGTTAACTTATCCCATTCTCACACAATTCACTGAAATTTCTAAAACCAGGAGTCCAAATAGGCACCACATTTTTTACCACCATCAGGTCTTCAGAAGACACCTTTTTCATTTTTCCACTGGATGTCTGGGAGGCTTAACTGCTTACATGCTTGGGCACCACCGAAGTTCTTTCTGGGTAGGAATGTGGACAGCTAAGCCATAACATTTGTAAACTTAAGATTAAGCCATTTAAGAACAATTTCATTCGTCATGTATATGTATGAATGTATAAGGGGTGGGCCTTCTCGGCCCTTGCACCACAACCTACAGTGATCTATTGTGCTTTTCATTCATCATCCTTTGTACAAAAGAATATTTGTTATTAATTTTATTTTTTGTATTAATAGTATTTGGCATACTTCCTCAACTTTGATAATTGTCCGGAACTCCAGGCAATGTCCCAGTGCTAGGTCGGCACCCATGCAATAGCTGATGCGGCTTTTGCAAGGGATGAGAAGCCATTTTTTTTTTCATATCAAGTATGTCCACTACTTACCAACACAGTGTGTGTCATGTGTAGTGATGACGTCTTGTAGGCAATAAACTTTATTTAGTGGCACCATATTTATTGCTTTACAAATTCGTGTACTTGTCTTAAAGTTAGGGAATCACATAATTTGAATGCACCTCTTATTTAGTTCTAACATTGCCAGGAATGATGTCACTAGTTGTAGCACTACATTTTATTGCAGTATAACCAACCAACTACACAGAGTGGAGTTCTTCTTGTGAAGCCAGCAATTGCTCAGCTACAAAAGAATTTCCTAAAATTTTATGGAATCCAAAGCCTTATTACTGTGTTCACAAGGGCATGTCATTTGTCTATCCTGAGATAGAGCAATCCAGTCCATACCTCTATCTTATTTCTCTAAGATATATTTCATATTATCCTCCCATGTACATCTGGGCCTTAGTAGAGGTTTCTTCTACTTTTTTGAATGAAACCTTGTATGCATTCATACATGCATTCGGTCTTATGGGATATAATGCCATGTAGTCTGGTGAAAGTCAAGTGACGTTTCAGAGGAACATGTTGGCTTCAGGTTCGGTGTTGAAGAGCAAGTCACGTAATAAACCAGCATGAAGCAGACAACAAGCAGAGCAGAAGATAGAACTCATCACACCACTGCTATCAGAACATCAAATTGTATGCAACTAAATATTATCCATCACCTTCTTTAGAAACTGACAATTGCTCACATAATAAAGCAATTTACCACCTTTTGAAGAATCTGAAGTTTCATTACCAAGTTCTTATGAGCCCATTCTTGGGTCCTGTCCTGAGCTACATGAACAGTCCAAATTTTCCATCACATTTATCTTAAATGCCTACTGTTCTCTCTTTTCCGTGTCTCTGAATTGGTGTCGTCCTTTCATATATTCTAACTAAAACACTGAACTGATTCTCCAATTCCACAAGCATGCTACATGTCTTACCATCTTCAATTTTGATCACCCTATTCATATTTGATGAGGAGAATACATTATGATGTTTCTCATTATGTTACACACCCCATCCTCATATTACTCTGCATCCAAATATTTTCCTCAGCACTGTGTTCTCTTTTCTTCACTTAGGATATTTCACATTTTGCACCCATATAAAACTACAGGTAAAAATATAATTTTGTATATTTTAAAATTATGACAGGCATCATGAATTCCCAAGACTGCAAACTTCACTAATGATGGTTCAAACTTTTCCTTTCCTACTTTCCTCAGTAAAGTTTTTGCTGATTTCCCAAGTCCTTCTAGGAGAATTCTGGGTATGTTACCACTGTCACATCTTTATACAAGATGCAGTTGTTGGTCTGACAGTTGACATTAACTTTGTAAGGCTTCTGACAACTAAAATAATTATTCTCTTTTCAGCGAGTTCCAGGCTGACAAGTCCTCGACCCAGCAGTTTGCGGCAGAGTCGGAAAAGGGCTCTTTCCTCATCCCCATACTCAGACTCATTTGACATCAACTCTATGATCCGCTTCTCTCCAAATTCTCTGGTTTCCATAGTAAATGGTTCCCGAAGCTCCAGTGCTAGTGGCTCTTATGGGCACCTTTCAGCAGGTAATTTGTACATCAGTTGAAAGTACTCACTATTTGCGAATAAATAAATATAATCATTTATTTCACCCTTCCCATCTTAAAAGTTCATTGGCATTTTACAATCATTGGGTACCTCCCATATTATAATCCTGCAGATTTGCATTAATATTAAAACCAGAAGTTAAAAATTTTTATATCAAGAAAGAGGCCAAGAGCAATTTATAGCTCAAGGGTTAGCTGCTTTGCCCTGTTGAATGAATGTCAGCCATATCATGTTGACTTTTGAGCTGCTTATAAGGCTTGCATGTATGGTTTGTCCTTCAAAAGCTGTATGCCAGTTGCTTGAGGCTGTGTGTAAGAAGATTTGAGTTCTAATGAACTTATGTTTCATCACTGCAGCTCTGATTATTATAGAAGGATAATAGTGACAGCAACTGCATGAACTTCGAATAGAAGAGTGTCCGTTCTGTGTCCTGTTGAAATGCTATGTACTTCAGTTACACGTTACACATCTTTGGCTTGGTACTAAGAAGGATGTATGAAGGGTAAATAAATTCTGTTCTGTTTAAGTCAAGTGTTGATACATTACACATCTTTGGCTTGGTACTAAGAAGGATGTATGAAGGGTAAATAAATTCTGTTCGTTTAAGTCAAGTGTTGATGAATTCTCTAGAAGTATTATAATGACCTGATAAACAGACAGTGTTACCCAAAGGAGCGACAATATATTTTCACGATTTTGGGGGTGACCTATAAGATGGGGTTTGGTTTGGATAATTGGATTTATTGTACCCTATACATTCACACAGTTCGGGGCTACAGGCAACACATCACACACTTTTCAGTTCACAGTTCCACATGCACTATGATTCTCACTAGTCATATCCTGGCAGTGGATTTATCACAGTCGCACTGTAACTTCAAGTCACATATGAAGTCTTCTTTGCACCACCTAATTCTTTTCTTGCCATTCTGTAGACTTGACTCAACTACTCTCGATTACTGTTCCTGTCTCATCGTCTGACTGTGCCCTTTTATAATCCATCGGAGTGGACCACAAAGAAAATAGCCTGTATTGTTAAGGAGGCAGGTTTACTGGCCTGTTGCCTAGCAATGGGTATACATGTCACAATATCATGGTAGCAGTGCTTAAGTTGTTACACATTTCCTTTTGACGTTCACCAGAATCCTGGAAAAGAGTTGTCAGATGTGATGCTCATCACCCTCTGCCACATTATGTTTCTCATACAATAAGCTCAAAGTGCACCTGCCCACCTCCCCTGAGTTTACTTTGAGAAATGGCTAGCTGTATTTCTTGTGTTTGCCACTATACGTAGAATGTCACAAGATGTGCTTTGGCTCTTCCCACTTTCTAAAGCCTATCCATTAAATGCTTCAAATAAATGACTTATTAACCTTTAAATGCCGGACTTCTGAAATGATAGTAAGCTTGAGCTGGCCGGAGTTTATTTAAATGCCCACTGCTGGTGCGCGTTTAAATGCCCGTTGCTACGCTGTATTTAAATGTCGATTCCTGTTAGGGCGCATAAACAATTTTAAGCATTGTGTTTAAAAATACTGTATCTAACTCAATTTTTATGATAAGTAGATGGAATTAACTTTATTTGTATCAGCAAAGAACATAGGGTTGCATATTATAACAGAATATTCAAAAATTTTTATACGAAGAGTTATACCCTATTTTCAATTTTTTTCTTTTAATTTTGATGTGTACTGCAAAAATGGTTTCCCAGTTCTTTGCAAAGTTGTTCTGCATTACAAATTCATTTTTGTTTGTAACACTTGACAAATTTTAGCAGTCCCTGGTGTCATAGAACAGATGGAAGCAATAAAATCATTTGGTCTTCTGGTAGCACTGCTTACACTCTTCGGATTTTCGAATCTTTTGACTAAAGGGCAGAAGAATGAAAGAGTGGATATTCAAGAGAAAGCTAGAAGGGTCCCTTCTTCAGTGTTAAGACCTTCCATTATAGCTGCAAGAGATTATTACCCTTTCTAGGGTCATGAACAGACAGTTACATCGTGGCTGAGATACAGAGTGCGATCTGTTTTCTATGCGTTTATAGTGAAATTGAATACTGTAATTTCATTTCAGCCAATATATACATCAAGCAGATAACAACAAAAAAGGTATGCAGATCGAATTTTACTATATATTTTTAACACATTAATCTGCAGAATCTGCAATAAAAGTACTGGCTCGTGGATGAGTTTGAGCATAACTCATACGTATATTCTTTTTTGCTGTTGTTCACTTAGGTATATCATTTTAATTCCTCTATTAGGGTTTTACTCAAGTCTGTCTGGTAATTACTACATTTAAAAGTAAATATGTAGGACTGTGCATGCGCTTCTACTAGCGGCGTGCGCGCGCACTTCCACTAGCAGAGTTTAAATGCCAGACTGGCCAAAACAGGGTACTTTGGCCACTATGACCATACTCATCACTGGCCCGATTGGGGCACTTCGGCACTTAAAGGTTAACATCCCATATTCATGGAAACAGCCCCTGGTACCTGTTGGATCAGATGCTACATGGGCCCCAGAGCTGGACTGAACACAGTGTAGCACAAAAAAGCCTCTCTTATTTCTGGATAACAAAGTCCAGTTTTCCAGTCCTCCAGATCATAGCCTTATCATCAATTCTGCTCTGTAGGGACAATCAGTCCTGCGCTGGGGATGCACCCTGGCATGGCACCTCATCTGCAGCAGCTCCAAGCACATCTCCTTAGAACAGCAGCAGGAAGCCTTCTACCGCCACTGCCTCCTCACCCTCAAGCACAGACACAAGTTCCAGGAGGGCTCTTCCCCTTACCTCACCATCCCTTACAGCCTTCCACAGGGCATTCCATATCGAAAACAGAGGTGAGTTTTAGGTTGGTCTATTGTCATAGCTGTGTAACTTAAGTTGTCATCAGTTAATGTCTTGAAATCATGCATATAATTTATGCAAATAATTTATAAAACACAGATATAGATAAATAACGATATATATATGCATGAATAAAACATTATGTCATAATGTTTTGTGATGTAGTATATTGTACAAGTATTGTCAGCAATGAAATAGAAGTAACATGTTTTCTTTTACATACTGTAGTGTAAAAGAAGGTACATTTCAAAATACAGGAATAAAACTACTGAACTATCTCAGAAACTTTCAATACCATGTATACCATCAGGTATGGTATATCATTGTCACTTTCCTTTCATTAGTGAGTTCAGAGTCTGGAGGCTGTTGTTTCTCATCTCAGTGTGTGGTATACGAGGGGGTACCCAAAAGAACTTATTTATTCAAATTTTAAGCACAAACCTTCAATCCCCTTCAGAGTACTTTCCACTTACACTAATACACTTGTCTAGTCTTTTATTCCATTTTTCAAAACATTGTCTAAATTCATCTTTTGAGATGCTTGACAGCGCCTCTGTCGTTTTTTCCTTCACCTCAGCAACATCAGCAAAACGCTTTCCTTTCATGTCTCTTTTCATTCGAGGAAACAAAAAAAAGTCGCACGGGGCAAGGTCGGCTGAGGAACAGGGGTCATACCATTTCTGGTCAAGAATTGTCGTACAGACAGGGCTGTGTGAGCAGGGGCATTGTCATGATGGAAAAACCAGTCACCCGACTGCCACAAATCTGGCCTCTTCTGCTGCAAACTGTTGCGCAATCTTTTCAAAACTTCCAAGTAGAAAGCCTGGTTAACTGTCTGACCCTGCAGAACAAACTCTGAATGGACGACTCCTCTCACATCGAAAAAACAAATCAGCATTGTTTTCATGTTTGATTTCACCTGACGAGCTTTCTTGGGGCGAGGCGAACTTGAAGTCTTCCACTGGCTTGATTGTTGCTTTGATTCAGGATCGTAAGCATTGCACGAGGTTTCGTCACCGGTGATAATTTTTGAAAAAAAAGTTTTGATCATTTCGGGACTCTTCTTTCAAAGCACAGCATGCTTCCACGCGACCTTGTTTTTGTTCAGCAGTCAGCAGTCATGGCACGAATTTCGCAGCCACCCCTTTAATTCCCAAATCTTCTGTCAAAATTCGCAGAACTGAGCTCCAAGTCACTCCCGACAGCTTCACAATTTCTTCAGTGGTCTGTTGTCGATCTTCCGTGATGATTTCACGAATTTTTTCAACATTTTCAAGTGTTCGGGCCGTGGAAGGACGACCAGAACGAGGTTTGTCATCAATTGACATTTCACCATTTTTGAAACGGGAAAACCACTCAAACACTTGAGTTTTCCCCATAGCATCGTCCTTGTACGCCGTTTTTAACATTTCAAGAGTTTCTGTTCCACTTTTCCCGAGCAAAAAGCAGAATTTCACCGCTGCATGCTGTTCGTGAAAATCAGCCATTGCAAAAACGACGATCACATAAAGCAGTTGTCACTATAAACTCTGCCGAAACTAGTCCTTACTTTCTGAAGCAATGGTAGTCCGCTTATCAACTCAGGAAGGTTAGCTCTATGCGCTCATAGCGGCAAAACGCGGTACTACAAAAGCTCTGCCCACAAAAAAATTAGTTTGGTTTCTTTTGGGTACCCCATCGTACTCTAGAGGGGCAAATACAGTTTACAGTAATATATATATATACCTAGAATATATTAATGTGGTACTGATTTTGCATGTTCTCATGTTAAAGAAGTCTCTCTATACCCTATCACTTTGTTGCTAAGTCCCAAGTGAGATGTGTAGGTTACTGCATGCACTCTTTTCCTTACTAATGCAGTTATCCTGCCAATGGGAATAATTTATACATACTGAGTTATGAGTTATTGGTATTTTATAAGTAATTATCAGTTTATTGAAAGTTATGTGAATCATTCACTTCATTTTTGTTGTGTAGGGAAAGGTTTGGATGTGCATTAATATATAAATATTTGTAATAGAAATCGGGCTCTGAGATGCTATTATTCTCATGGCAGGTGTCAGGGGATGCGTGCAAGAAGCTGGACTCCCCTGTCTCTAGTAGTGTGGTGGAGGCAGACACTAGTGCATCGGGCGGGGGTGCTGGGAACCAGAGGAAAGCACGGATAAAGAGGGAACCTGTCACAACTAATGCCAACCTCACAAGTGCAGGTAATTTCGCATCAATCACAATAAATGCCATGGGTGGCACTGTCTTATGAAGACATAAAAACTACACTGTTCATTGAACGAATTTGACTTTCCTAACATTGTAGAGATATTATGTGGATCTATACATCTACTTTATGGCATAGTGCTTAATTGGTTAAGTGCAGTGACAATGCTCAGTCAGTGATGGTCTTTGTCTCTATTTCTCAGGTTATATAATAAGTTATGACTCCAGAGAATACAACTTATCATTTGGATATGCATACAAATATACAAATGTGCAAACCCTTTGTAGATGATGTTCCTTATGAGGAAATCCTGTGTATGAACTTCAGGGCTGAATTATTAATAAAGAATTTCATTCACGTATTTGGAGATGCGCTGTAAAGATATTTGAATGCACACATATTAACAGTATCAATATTGCAATACAATTTATTTCAAGAACAACCGAGAAAAATAAAAATACTTATTATATTTATGCACTGTATGGACATAACGCAGATATTTCAATTTTATGAAGTGATTAGAAAGTCACTAATCTCACTACTGTATTAAATGAAAGGAATGAGAAGAGAGCTAATTTCTTATTCAGATTTTTGTAATATTCTGCTAATGGTACGTATATTTGAATGTATAGGTGCAGGACCTGTGTCAGGAGGACTTGGTTCAGACTGTAGTAGCAGCAAATGTTCTCCAGGGGGTGCTGATTCTGGAGACCCTCTCAAAGATGAACCAGGAGATTTCATCGAAACAAACTGTCACTGGCGGGAATGTGGTCTCGAATTTCCTACGCAGGATGATCTTGTCAAGGTAACTAATCACTGTACAGTACTAATAACACTTCAGCTTACAACATATAGAAGGTTTACACCTACACACTAAAAGGATTAATTTTAATTGAATGGGTAGTTGCTTATTTTATAACAACGTCGGTAGCTGTACTGAATAGCGTCAAATGATCAAATGATAGATTAATTGGGAAATGATTTGGAAGGAAGCATTCATGGCCTAGTCAAGGTTGTAGTCTGGTGTTTGTTGGGAGGGACTGAGGAAAATCGTGAAAAACCTCAGTGAGAATAGCTGGTGTTCTGGCCTAGATTTGAACTGGGCTCCTTCAAAATATGAATGAAGAGAAGTCCTGTTATGCCAGCCCGTTTGGAAATTCTGATTGTCACAGTTCGTTCAACAGAGTGACCAGCTGCAGGCCAGACAACTGATAGAGGCAGGGATTATTCTCTTTACCACCAAGTCCAGAGTGGTTCCAGGGCTCACAGAGACTTCTACCCAGTGAGTACCATGGGCTGTTTTCCCAGGGGTTAAAGTGGATTGAGCTTGAAGCTGATACATCTAATTTACTTGTAACCAAATATATTGTCATGCAAGGGGGGGGGTACTCATGACAAAAATAACAGGTTCTAGTTTGGATGACTGTATTTATTGGCACTTTGTTTACAGTCTCTCTTAATTTCAGTTAGTACAGCACTATCACTGATTTACATAATTTACATTTCACCATTGCACATGTACTGGAATTCTCAGTTTTCACTCATCGTCTCCTAGCAAGGGAACTCAACACAGAAACCAGCACTTTAAATCACTATGAAGTCTTCTTGCCATATCTTGTTCAACCACCCTGGAACCTCGGAACTCAACTAAAAACTTTTCTGGACTCTTCTTAGCTGCAAGCGGTTTCGTGTTATATAGCTGCGACATGGACAACACAGAAAACACAGCTCTACTTAAGCCTAACAGTTCTACTGAAGCATAGGGCAGGCCACACAGAAAACACTAGTCACATGTGACATTATTGTGCCTGCACAGATGTGTTCACTGAGCCATTGCCTAGAAGTGAGTTGCATAACCCTGTTTTTCTATTGTTGCACCCCTGTATTACTTATAATAAACGGCTGTTTCTGTGGCTTAAGTTCTTGCCTGGAGCAAATATGAGGGGGTACCCAAAAGAAACCGAACTTATTTTTTTTTAACTTATTTATTCAAATTTTAAGCACAAACCTTCAATCCCCTTCAAAGTACCCTCCACTTACACTAATACACTTGTCTANCACCCGACTGCCACAAATCTGGCCACTGAGCTCCAAGTCACTCCCGACAGCTCCACAATTTCTTCAATGGTCCGTCGTCGATCTTCCTTGATGATTTCACGAATTTTTTCAACATTTTCATGTGTTCGGGCCGTGGAAGGACGACCAGAACGAGGTTTGTCATCAATTGACATTTCACCATTTTTGAAATGGGAAAACCACTCAAACACTTGAGTTTTCCCCATAGCATCATCCTTGTACACCGTTTTTAACATTTCAAGAGTTTCTGTTCCACTTTTCCCGAGCAAAAAGCAGAATTTCACCGCCGCACAGTGTTCACGAAAATCAGCCATTGCAAAAACAACGATCACACAAAACAGTTGTCACTATAAACTCTGCTGAAACTAGTCCTTACCTTCTGAAGCAACGGTATTTGGCTTATCGACTCAGGAATGTTAGCTCTATGCGCTCATAGCGGCAAAACGCGGTACTACAAAAGCTCTGCCCACAAAAAATTAGTTTGGTTTCTTTTGGGTACCCCATCGTATACATATTTATGGAATATAAGAAGTAGCTGAATTTGTTTGCTTAAAGTCAGTTCTGATGATGGTCTGTTATACTTAGCAATACTAGTTTTCTGGCACTTGTCCATTGTGTAGTAGTCCAAACAAAACACATGGTGTCAGGAACTGGATCTGTTTTATCCTCAGATGAAAATGTATGGAGGCATCTATTCAGTTTGGTCCATTTGACTTATAGCTAAGCTCAATTAATGGACAATCATAAGTCAATTAAAACATATACACCATTAAGATCAGGTTCTGTTAGTGGAAAGAACTTTCTGTCATAATTCCAGCTCTCCTGTGTACCAACAGAATATTTATTGTAAATTTCTTAGTTTCTCCTGTCTAACAATCCTGATTCTAATGGCGTGTAATTTTAGTTCAGTGATTGAACTCTTAAGTGATTGAGATTGTCTTCTTTTAACAGATCAAGTGAAGTGTCTGTCCACTTTTCACATAAAGATAAAAGCAGATTCAGTTTCCATATTTTTTGTTTGCAAATATTAGCTCCTGGACAGTGTCCCAGAAGCCAATAATACCAAACTGTCTCTTTATTCTTCCCACAGCACATCAACAATGATCACATTCATGCAAACAAAAAATCATTTGTTTGCCGCTGGGAGGATTGTTCACGAGATGAGAAGCCATTCAAAGCTCAGTACATGCTCGTGGTGCACATGCGGCGTCACACTGGCGAGAAACCTCATAAGTGTACGGTGAGTGTTATATGTAGTGATACCAGCTGGCCATAGCAATAAGGAAATCAGACATATTTTATTTACAGTAGATTTAAGAAAAGAATGACAGGCCCTACATTGTCTGTGGGCTATAATGTACTGATATGCAAGTGCTTGCCTACACTGTAGAGCTAAAAATATGTTTTCAGATTTGTGCTGTAGACTGACAATTTCTGTCAAGGTTCATTTGTGAACTTCATTCACAACAGGGCCCTGTAAGTTTCATGTTAAGTATAAAATGAATAACGGAACTTAACATTGTTGTGATATAGCTTAGGCCTGAGGTTTATTCAAGGGTAAGTTCATATGAGATGCAGAGTGGATGAAGTTGCACTGGAGCAGGGTTTTCTCTTTCGTTCTTTTGTTTCCCCCTGCCAGTCATTCCACCACCATCCCATGAGGTGTGAGACAGCAAGTAGCACATTATAGTACATATTATCATTCTTCAAGTGGAGGGCCTTGTTTCTGACCTGACATTGGCTAGCCACAGAGTAAATAAGTTTAATATTGAACCTGAAATTGTGCTTGTAGCGAAAGTAATGAAGTTTTATGATCCATGTTTCAGTTTGAAGGGTGCTACAAGGCTTACTCGAGGCTGGAGAATCTCAAAACACATCTAAGATCCCACACTGGAGAGAAACCATACATGTGTGAATATCCTGGCTGCAGTAAGGCATTTAGTAATGCATCAGACCGTGCCAAGCATCAAAATCGTACCCATTCTAATGAGGTACATCTCTTAGTGTTATATTTTGCAGTGATAATTATAGAGTAATATTAAACATCAGCTGTATTTTCTCATACTATAAACTGTATCTCTGACCACTGTGCATCTTCTGTTTCCAAGCTGTAAATGGGATGGTCTTCTCTGAAAATATTATAAAGGTGAGTTCCTGTATCTTTTTATGGAACTGAATCACACTTGATTTTCTTTCTCTGTTGTTCCTTGTTGATGTGCACTGTACATTCCCTATTATTTTTCTTTCAAGCCTATTATTTTGTTTAGTTTAAAAGAATTCTATATTCCATTAAAGAAGAAATAAAGTTGAGGGTAAATGATAGCGATTTTAAGATACAATTTTATTGTAAAAATGGAGGGGTTGTTGAACACAAAAAACATCTTCATTATTCCACTTGCAACATGTTTCGGCCCAGAGAGACCATCATCAGGTGATATGTGAAAAAGATGAAAATGATGAAATTCATATAAAACTACAATGCTCATCTAAATTTGAAAATCTCTTAATTACATTAGATCAGATGTGACTTAATATCATATTTTTTTTTATCAGTAATCTGTCATACGTCAGGTCCATGTTTGGAGGAACATATCGCCTCCATCAATAATAAAAAGAAGAAAATCCGCGAGCGAGGAACCAATGTTCCTCCGAAACGTTGGTTAACACAATATCTACATGGCCCCGCATCCCAGTAGACTGCTTTCTTCATAATCACCGCCGTGAAAACATCAAATCTTACATATTTAAAATATTGTCGCGTGTTGCTAAATAATGCAACAAATAAATTCACGCAGGTCTCCGATTTGGTGAATATGTTTATTGAATGCTCACTTTTACACTAGCAAGTACAATTATTATCACTTTCAGTATCACAGCAGATACTGCTTCTGTTATAGTCAAAGTCAAACTTAAGGCTGACTACTCTTCAGATGCAAACTTGAGTGTTCTCGGCAACTGCTAGAACTCAATTGTCCATTCTCAACTCAATTAAACTCAACTGTCAAAACTGTCTGGCCCAAGTCAAAGTCAAAGTCACATTGTGACTGACGTCCAGTCAGTCAGTAAGTCTTGGTGTCGAGCCCCATCCGGGGCTCATGACCAGATATTAATTATTACCGTTTGACAGTTACGGTTCTATTTTTGTGGAGTGCCCTCTCTGACCAGAGGATGGATCTGTCTTTTGTATATGCTCCTGGCCCTCGCCAGCAAAGTCGTTCTCGGATCCTAGTCCTTGGGACTCGCGACCATATTTTACTCGTACTGTCTCAGATTTGAGACTTTCCTTTTCGTCACCTCCTACAACTTGCAGGTTCACGGTGGAGGCATACCTTAGATATTTAAGTCAGATAAACTCACAGGTAAAGGTGTACAGGCAGCTTTCTCCTGGGGAAAGAGCCCTTGCTACCCATTGGATAGGAAGTTGGATGAACCCCAGATCCAGTCAGGACAACATGGAGAAGCGAAAATTCTTGACCCTACTGGGACTACCCCTTTGTGTTCCACCCATAGCCAGTCGCTATACTGACTATGCTATCCGAGCTCCTCAGATAATTTCACACAAAATGATAAATTTACATTCCCAGAAACTATTTCATTTTTGCTAATATATTTAATATCTCTTCTTCACAGTGTTTGCTTTTTCCTTCATAGCAAATTACTGATATATATAGAGCTGTGCTTCCATTCTGTTCTACCTATAATCCCTTGATATTATTTATCTCTATTTTCACATAACTAGTAGCCCAGAGACATCCAGTATAGCAGAATGTTAATAATAAGGTTTTCACTTCCATGCCATTGAATACCTGTTTCTGAAGCGTTCTAGTGTGTCTGTCCCTATATGTTAAGCACTTGGAATCATCACTTTTGTTTTCTATTGCCACAGAAACCATATGTATGCAAAGCTCCAGGCTGCACAAAGAGGTACACAGACCCAAGCTCTCTGAGGAAACATGTGAAAACAGTGCATGGTGCAGAGTTTTATGCCAACAAGAAGCACAAGGGTCCAGGTGATGGTGCTGAGGATGGTTCCAGTGGAGCTGGTGGCTTGCTGGACAGCAGTCCACACAGTGAGGAGATGATGAGTGGCAAGACAGCCAGTCTTTCCAGTCCCAGTGTCAAGTCTGAGGTGATCTGCTATATCACACATTTTAATACAAGTATATTATTATCATCAAACCAGAAAGATTCTGTTCATCTTAACACACACAACTCTTTAGTTATATATATATATATAATGCGTTCCTGGGTTCCAAGAATAATGACATGGTGGGAGAGGGAGAAGGAAAATAATTGCAAATGCAATGCACAACCATTATTCAGCAGCTGGGTTTCTGTATTTTATCTAAATCTTTATCATGTTCTTGTTACACTTAGCAGTTTTGTTGCACACAGTGAAAGCCTCTGGTGTTACATTTTTTGTTCTTGTGCTTCACTGGAACTAAAAACGAAATATTGAATAGAAGTTTTATCACAAATTGAGGTTAAGTCCCTGTGTACATTCAGAGCTACTTATGGTGTAGTATAGAGTTTTATGAGAAGATGGACCAAGTGGTATTTATCACAGTAAGCTTCAGTACACAACCTCCTTTTCTGTTGATTTATATTTCCAATAGGACATGTTACTGCACAGTTTTATCACTGCAATATTTTTATCAAAAAATAATTTTGAAAGCTGTTTGGCCACATGGTCACCCAAATTAAATTCTACCTGATTTGCAATAAAAGGCGCCTTATACACACATAATCCTCTCATTTTCTTGACCTTAAGGAAGCCTTCAAAAATTGTATTGACACTTTTCTTTGAATTGAGCCAGAATCAGAGTATCATGTATGGAAGTGTGTCTCCAAACCTATGATAGCCAATTCCAACATTTTCTGCAACTCTGGCAAATAAAACATTAATTTTCAAACTTACTAGTAACAATAGGTGAAGGACATTCACTCTGTATAGAGTGAACTCTTGATTATGTGTGGTGATAGAGGGGAGAAGTTACATGGATAATCTAAATACCCATATCTAATGAACTCTGTATGAAGTTTAAACCTAAAGTTTAGTTAACTGGTCTTTCTGCTGGTCACCAGACATTGAGGTAACTATCTTTCCAATAGAAGACAGAAGCCCTTGTTCAGTGTTATACCCTATGAAAAGCAATAAAATTAAAAAACACAGTTGTCACAGGGCAAGGAATGTATTGCAAATACACTGCAAATCATTGTACCATATTATTGAAAGAGATGTAATGGGCAATACTTAAATCATTATGAGAAGCTATAATCAACAACTAAAGGGTTGCAAAAGTTCCACAGTTATTCTGCACATGGATAATCAAGAGTCTATTCTTGTGTGTTTCCAAGTGTGTTTTGTGACAAATGTCTGTATATGAGTTCTTGAACATGTTTTGTGGTGTGGAAAAATGTTAATATTCATGACCAGAATTATGTACCAAGATTGAGGTAAGAAGTGTCCCAATAAGAATGTACACTTGAAGCATTTACTAAAGGATCTGCATTATGTTGTGACAAAGAAATGCAGTTTGCTCATTATTTGTCATTCAGCTAATGACTGAACATAATTCTCAGGAGGCCAGTTCACCGGCTCAACAAGGCAGTCCTCTAAGTGTTACTCAGCATGCAAACAATGGTTTAGATGAGCCTGTTAGTGACTCCAATGTCAGCACAACCAATCACACCCTGACAACTGTGGAGGCAGAAGATTGGGCAGATGAGGGCGAAGAACTTGAGGTATAGTGGATCATTACGCTATCAGTATGGTATTATTTGTTGCAATTTAGAGCAGTTATTTGCAGTTCTTGAATTGTAACTTTTGAATATGAAAATGCAATACTTCATTTCATTTTCTTTTTTTATAAAATACATGTTTCAGGACTAAGTTACTTCTATTTCACCTTAATGATAATACTTTTCTGCTGCTTTGTAAGAAAAGGAATAGTAGCTTCTTACAGTAAGCAACTTCTACATTTCTGTGAAATCTGTTTGCATATGTGAAACCTCCCTAGGAAAGTATTGAGAGTTACTGTTTTCTGTGGAATGACATTTTTTGTAATTCTCTTTATGTTTCTTCCTAAGTGTTTACTGTAAATAATCATGTTTGGCATGTTCACAGCTCTGTCATGTCAGCATGTAGCCACTTGAAACCTCTGAATGAATAATGTTATATTTTAGCGTCCTGTTGCACTGATTTAAGTCCATGATTTATTTCAACAGTCTTCCAATGCATACACTCATCTATCTCACTCCTCTCTCTCGCACTACATGTTTCAGCACAGAAGTGCCATCTTCAGGTGCTTATTCGATTTACGTTAAACTAGTTCACTGCATGCCTTGTCGTCTTCATATTAAAATAACTAAAATATATATTTATCATTTATATTGATAAATATTAAATGTTAAAAATATTAAAATTGTTCAGGATTTTTCATCCCTACGTCGTATCTCACTACGTGAGTCACACCTATAACACACGCAGTCACAGGAGCAAGACACAACACAGAGCACAATACACACACGAAAGTAGAAAGAGTGCTGCGACAGAAGAGGATAGGTGTGACTCGCGTAGTGAGATACGACGTAGGGATGAAAAATCCTGAACAATTTTAATATTTTTAACATTTAATATTTATCAATATAAATGATAAATATATATTTTAGTTATTTTAATATGAAGACGACAAGGCATGCAGTGAACAAGTTTAACATAAATCGAATAAGCACCTGAAGATGGCACTTTTGTGCTGAAACATGTAGTGCGAGAGAGAGGAGTGAGATAGATGAGTGTATGCACTGGAAGACGGTTGAAATAAATCATGGACTCTGAATGAATGTTCATTAAATTTTATATTGACAAATATTATAAAAAATTGTTAACCATTACCAGTTTTAGTTATAACTTGATGTCAGTAATTAACAATTTACACAGAGATCTACTTGTCTTTCTGCTTAGATTTCAAGTGAAACTTTCTAAATATTTATCAGAGAATGTTTTTTCAGGAAAACTTGAAGAGAAGACTGAGAACTGTTATGTCAGACATACACAGTGTGTCCAGGTTCTGTTATGACTGTGTTCATTAAAAATACAAGACGTGAATTATTTTCGAAATTTCACTCTTTTTATTCAAAATAGCCTCCTTCTGAATCAGTACATAGCTGGAATCGATTGAAAAGTTTTTGAAAACACTCGCTTTACTCCTGTTGTGGAATCACATTTAAAACTGCCGTAGATTCCCTTTGGATGTCCTGGATGGTATCGTGACGGTCTCCTTTCATCACCAGCTTAACTTTTGGGATCAACCAGAAACCTGCTGGAGCCAAATCTGGCGAATACCGAGGATGATCAAGAACTATGATATCTTTTCTGGCCAAAAAATCGTGCATGATCTTCGATTTGTGGGGTGGGGCATTGTCGTGGAGGAGTGACCAGGAACCTTGCTCTCGATATTCATGTCGAATTCGAAGAATTCTCGCCAAAAAACGATTGAGGACTCTGAGATAATAATCAGAATTCATTGTTTGACCTTCTGGTAGAAATTCCTTGTGATGATTCCTTTGGAATCGAAGAAAACGGTTAGCATTGTCTTTACTCGACTCTTTTGCATGCGCACTTTCTTTGGTTTCAGCTTATTTGGGCTCAACCATGCTGCACTCTGCCACTTTGTGAGAGGCTCATATTGAAAACACCATGTCTCGTCACCAGTAACAATCGATTTCATAAATTTTGTATCACTTTGGGCCGACCATAACGTGTCTTTGCAGTGTTCCACTCTGTCATGTATTTCATCACCTGACAGCGAATGTGGTACAAACCACACACAGACCTTCCATTTGCCCAAATCCTCCACCAAAATTTGAAGCACAGTACTTTTTGGTATTCCCAAAAGCTCCTCGATGAATCTTGCAGAAACACATCTGTCTGATGCAAGGATTTGGGTCACTTTTTGCAGTTTCTTCAGTGAGACTTATTCTCGACTTTGATGCACGTGGAGTGTCTTCAGTGTCTTCCCTGCCATTATGAAATATGGCATACCATTGAAAAGTGTTCGAGCAACTCAAACAATCACTACTGTACACACTTTTCATCATTTGGTACGCTTCTCCGTCTGTTTTGCCTAACTTCAAACAAAATTTGATGTTGGTTCTGTTCAACCGCCATTTTCCGACAGGCGTCAGAACAGTATTGTTACATTCAAGGTCAGAACACATGATGCAGCGATGCTTGCGCTTTGAAATTATAGACAGCCACAGCTGAAACTTCAAGAATCTTAATGCCACAACTTGCCAGCAGATGGCATTGTAGGGCAAAATAAATAAAAAAAAAAGAGTCCTAATGGATCCTGGACACACCATGTATGTCTTCATCAATTTACTGACATAACTAAACAAAAGAGAGTGATAACACCAGGACTGTTTATGTTGTGCATACATAACTTGAATAATACTTACTGTCTTCTGGAATATGAGAAACTCAAATCTCACATTTAATAACTTATTCAATCTAATGTTTAAATGTCATTTTCTTTATTTATAAATAACAGTGTATTTAGGCCTGAGTGTCACCAGGATATTCTCCAGCCATCGTGGGGGAGGCAGCCAGAAAATTTACTTACAAACTTACATTCAATCCATTTAAGACTGTTTATACTGATTGTCATAGCATAATCAGAACAGAAGAACAATAGCAAAGTAATTGTAATATTTTTTTATGTTTCCTACTTTTTCAGTTTCTTCTCCAAAAATCCAGGGGGTTGGATTTCTAGCTAAGATAAAAATAACTACATGTTGTGACATAAAGACTTAAAAAGTGTAATTTTATGTGTTATAAGTGAACAACTTAAAAAAAGTTATTACTTTCTTATATTCCATCCATGTTTTCCAGTTTTTTTTTACATTGTATTACGACTTTCTGACCAGAGCATGCTAAATGAGTCTATACAATTTCCCAAAATTTCAGCCTAAAATCAGAAGGAAACACAAAACCTAATAGTTATGTCAGTCAAAGAAGATTTCAGTATCCATTAATTGAATTAAAATTTCCTTAGTGACATGAATGAATAATGTGTTTACTCCCCAGGTGCCAGACATCCATCTTTCTGTGAGGGCTGTTGTGGGTGGAGGTTCAGACCCTATAGGACCACCAACAAATCACGCCTCACAGAGGATCAAGAGACTTCAAGCGAAAGGGGTCACAACACTACCACCATTGCCAAGTATTGCAGGTAACATACTTCTCAGCTGGTATGTAGTGTTGTACCTCTACCAAACTGTGGGTACATAAAAGGAGAACAGAAAAGGTGTTCATACCAGTATTTTGCTAATGATTCTATGGTACACATTGGTTTCTGCACACCAATATGGTTCTGTGAAGATTTTCAGTAATTCTGCATAAATTTCTGCGAATACCATAATTTTTGGAGAGTATACAGAATGTTCCGCAGAAGAGCTGATACCTACCTACCAGAAACTTCAGATCTCATACAATTTTAATTTTTGAATTTAAGAAATATTCTGGAAAGTAAGGAAAGGTAAATTGGATTTCAATACCTAGTGCTGTAAATGTATTCATAAGTATTTCAATCTAACTGAAGTGGCATCCATCAGGTTTTATCTAGGTTGGATGTAGGGTACAAGGCACAATGGGACAAATGGTTCATGGCAAATCAAGCTGAATGTTGTATTAGAGAGCTAGGCCAGTGTTAATGACAAGATTGTTGAAGAAAAATTACTTTTTATTCATGAGAATCACATTTGAGCTTACCTACACCATCAATTCCATATTTCCACAGCAAGAATACATGATGTAAAGGTTTAAAAGTAAGTGTTGAGATAGTCATCATATGTAGAAATTCCACACTCATAATGAGTGCTATATGAGTATGGAATAACCATCTTGTGCCTTCTTCAGGTGAATTTCATTGTGTTCTTAGGTGCGAGAAGAGGAATCAATCTAAGTGACCTGCCCATGCATTTCACTGATCTCAAGGTGGAGGGCTTAAAGAGCAATGCCACTGTGGCACAAACCCAGCTTATTGACTTGCAACTGAAGTTGGCTCCTGGCCAGACGAATGCTCAGAAACAGATGCAGCAACAGGCCACTTTGCGGCGTGATAGCAACTCCACAGTCAGCACATACTATGGTAGCATGTGTTCAGGAGAGCTGGGCTCTAGTCGACGCAGCAGCCAAGCTTCTCAGGTATTTGCATCATTTCCATATACAGTAAACTCTCGATTATCCGGGTGCGGATTAACTGGTTTGCGGCTTAACTGGGGCTGCTGAGGCTTTTTTGATGCTTATATGTTGGTTAATATTCATTCACTTTTGTTTCACATGGTGAGTTGTAACACTATTTTCGCACTAGTGTGAACCGAGCTCTGCATTCTTTGGTTCCGTTATGCTAACACAATGTTCTAGGGTAGGGGTGAAAGAATGCAAGGATCTGTGGAAAGTTTCAAGGACAGATACACCGCCCCAGTTGGTCTCTTTGTATCGATCTTCAAGTGTGTTAGCAAAATGTCAGGGTGTAAAAGGAAGCGTGTTGTGTTAAGTATTCAACAGAAACTCGTGTGAGCCGGGCTTTGAAATGTTAAGCAGTGACGAAACTGTAAGTTCAGTGGGGGTGCAGCCAGAAGAGCAGGAAGAAAGTGAGAAGGAGGAAGAGGTGGTCAGTGCTGCTAGTAAGAAAATATCACATGGTGCTGCTCTTAATCATTTGGAATCCTTACTAGACTATCTTGAGAGTGAAGAGAACAGTTTATTAAGTGACAAGCTAATATTACATAGGCTTTGTACGGATATCCGTAAAAAGGAAAATGCCGCGAAAAAGCAAATGACAATATTAATTTTTTTTAAGTGTTAAGTGTGAATATTCATAAAAAGTGTTGGATGTTGTTGAACACTGTGATTGAAATAACTAATTTGCACTTCAGTATAATGTAAAGAAAGTATTAAATAGGCCATGAGATGACATAAAAATGAGGTTGAGTAAATTTAAATAAAGGTAGGTCAAGAGTATTATGAAGGTACAGTATTACAGTACTACTTTTAATAACATTTGTCTTAACCGGGTTTTCGGTTAATCGTGATTTCCATGCCCGCCATTATCCCGGATAATCAAGAGTTGACTGTAATTTGAAAATCTAATAAAATGTGTGTATCTCCCAGTTCTTTAATTCCTAAAACTCAACTGAGTCAAACTTGGCAACAGATAGAAAACCATACAGAAATTAGGAACATATGGTGAAACAGAATTTTGTCAGTATTGTGCCCTTTCACTTTCACTCCATGCAGATTCTGTCATAACACTTTATCATACTGTAGCATGTAGTACCAGTACTATGCAATGATCATGAGAAAGAACCTGCCTTGCTTGGTAATGGCCAGTAACACATGTCAAAAATATCCAGTTATCACTAGGCAAATGCTCATAACAACAATAGAGGGACTGTTGGGGGCAGGTGTTCTATGTTGGGTTTGCCCTGAGGCTATATAGTGGGGACCCAAGAACGGCTGAGTGCAGTTCAGTTAAGTAGCGAAGTGGAGTGGTTCGTTGGTGAGTAAGAGAGTTCAAGTGCAGGATATTGGCCAGACAGTAATGACATGAGCATTGAAGATGATGAATCTCCACCAGTAGGATCCATTACTAGGCAATGTCTATTGGAGACTGACACACTAGTGTGTGTGGGTGTGTAACAGTGAAATGTAAAATTAAGTCACGAGTGATCAATAAATGAAGTCACCAATCGAAACCCTGTCTATAGTCACTCATATATATGACAATATTTACTCATGTACCATATGTGCCTTTGCATGATTTTCAGGAGAAAAATTGACAAAGAAATCAGTAAAAATTTAGAGTAAGCATTCCTTGGAGAGTTAGCTACATTTATTATGAAAGTATACAGACTACAGAAATGTGATACAATACATGCTTTCCTGATACTGTTTATAATACTGTTTGCTGGTGAAAGAAAAGTTCATAAAATGGTTTCAAAATATCCAACATTGTTAGTTAAATTTGCCATCATTTAATGGTAGCCTTAAGAAAAACCTACAACATAAAAAAATAACAAATTTGAATTTAACAAAAGTGCAGAATGAGAAAATAGCATTGACTTACATATTGTGACATGACGCCCCAAAGCTGGAATAGCGAAGTCAGAACAGATATTCATTGCTAGGCAACAACTTGGTAAACACATTCCTGTGGCCATAAACATGCAAGCAACAACTGAGTAACTTCCACTGCTATGCAGTGGTGCTGTAAACGTGCCTTCCGAACAACAAAAAGGCTGTGTTTTCTGCATGGTCTGTGCAAAGTGGTTATCAAGAAGAGTTTGGTTGAGAAGTAGTTGAATCAAGAGTCAAGACACCAGCCTGCCAGGATGAGTTTGGAAGCAGAGGAATTGAACTGAGTTGTCAGTTGCAGAATAATAACAAGAAAGGAATTAGATGGTGCTAAGAAGACTTCATGTGTGATTTGAAACAACATTGAGACTTGTAAATCTGTTACCAGGATACGGCTAGTGAAGACTGAGAACCCCAGTGTGTGTAATACGGTGAACTGTAAAGGGTGTAGATTAGCAATAGCGCTGTACTGCCTGTATTCCTGACTTGTATGAATAAGGTGTCAATAAATCCAATCATCCAATCTTGAACTGATCTTAGTCTTTTATTCATCTTAGCATATGAACAATAATGCTACGTGTACAAAATTACTAACATGTATATGACTTATGAATACATAGATTTTACAGTAAACATCTCATGATATTTCCCACACTGCCATCTGCTGAATTTTGTGCTCCTAAGTTATAACACTACAGACTGTGAAGGAGGTTTCAGCAGTACAGTATTTAAATTAAATTAAAATTAAACAGTATAGTGATATAGTGCCACAACCCATAACAATGAATGTACTTTTAATTTTCATTGATACATTATGGAATTGCAGGCATCAGCAATGTCTTGTGTCAGACCTGGAAGCGGGCAGGTAGGCTCATCCTGTGACCCCATCTCTGCTGGCAGCTCACGAAGGTCAAGTCAGCTCAGCAATACAGGAGGAGTGACCAATGTAGGGCACAATGTGTCCCATTTGTTGCCTGCTGGCATGAGCAGCCACCTACAGCGCTTACACTCACGGGTTCTTGGCGGGCATCAAGACCCTCTTTACTGCACTTCTAACCTCGTTCTGCAGGTCAGTGGCACACTCCTCTATTTCCTTTTTCTCCCTTCTACACCACCGCCATCATCATCATCATCACTTATTCCTCATCCCCTCTACCTCACCCTTTAAGTGAATAAGGTCAAACTTATTACAGCTTTATAGCAATCTCTCTGTTTCATCACATTTCTCTCTATTCTTTTGTCTGTAATGTTGTGTAAGTTTTATGAGTCTTATAGTTCACTGCATTCTGAAGTATTCTCCTCTGCAAGCATCTAGTTGTATCAAGAACATTTTCAGTTCCATCTTCACACCTCCATTTTTAATGTTATCTAATGTATATTTTCTGCTGGTCTAGAAAACCGAGATTAATGGCTGTGGGGATCCATTGCACTGACCACGCAACACCCTCTGTCCGCTAAAGTTGGCACTAACTTCGTCTACAAGCGGTGGTTGCTCAGTTGGTATAGTTCGCGTGCGGACTATAGGCCACAGTTTTTTTTGTTTGTTTAGTATATTTTTTGACAGCACTTAAAGCTGTCAGTCTGGCTGCTTGAATTTTTATTCTTCTTAACTAACTTTACTTTATAACATACTAGGTTTTTTCCCTTGCTTTTCATATGTTCTGTTTATCATCCCGCACATTCTTTAATACTATTTCATTTTATTGTTTATGTCATAGTAAGGAATGTTTATTCCAAGCAATTAATGTGTGACATTAAAAGAATTATTTTTCAGCAGATTGGATACTATGCTTTTGTATTTGCTGTTAATGTTACATTAAACTACTGAAAAGGGTTCCACAGTTTAAAAAGGAAGTTCTGTATATCTTCCTCCAATCTCTAAAGGACAATTTGATCTTCTGTAAAGTGTTAGTGGACAAGCAGGAGTGCAGTTGGTTGTGGCACTATGCTACAAGCCGGAAGGTTGTGGGTTCGATTTTCAATGAGGCCATTGAATTTTTCAATTGACCTAATCTTTCCAGCCCCTACTATTGTTATTATTATTATTATTTAATTACATTCCATTAATCCATACAAGGTCAAAGACCTATAGGATATAGAAACTATCATTATAAATATAAAACAATAAGTATAATAGTAAATCTAATATACATGTCATAAAACTTACAGTAGCCATCTGAAACAATTTTACATAGAATTAATACAAATATGGCAATAAAAGTAAATTACAAATATTAACTAAATAATGTACAGGTATTCATTGGGAAGTTGTTTTGTAAAATTTGTCAATGCTATAAAATGCATGGTCAGTGAGATAGCTTCGCAATAAAGATTTGAATTGCTTAATGTCTTTAGATAACAATTTAATATTCAAAAGTAAATGATTATAAATCTTGCTTCCAGAGAACAGCACTCCTTTTTGTACTATTGATAAATTTGTAGAGGGTAAGTATAAATTATGCCGGTCACGGTGGCCGAGGGGTCTAAGGCATGCACTGTCTTCGCTCGCTCGGAAGCCAGGATTGTGGGTTCGAATCCCACTTAGGGCATGGATGTTTGTGTGCGTTTTTCTGTGTTTGTCTACAGGTAGAGGCCTTGGGACGAGCTGATCACTTGCCCAAGGAGTCCTACCGAATGTGTAAGATCTAGTAAACTGAAGTGAAACGGAGAGTTTCATGGAGGTAGGCCTAGGCCCAAATTGGGGCTGTAGCGCCACAGAAAAAAAAAGTATAAATTATAATTATAGCGGGTATTAATATTATGAATATCTGTGTTAGATGTAAAGTAATTTTTAATCTTAATAACGAAAAGAAGCAAGGAAAAAATATATTGAGACTGGAGTGGCAATATTTGTAATTTTTTTAACAAATCCCAACATGAATCAAATTTGCCCGATCCAGACATAATTCTTATGATTCTTTTTTGAATTTTAAAGATACTCATACTAAGGGGGGCATTACTCCAAAAGATAATGCCATACTTCAGTATCGAATGTACACAAGAGTAGCAAATCATCTTTATTGAATCTAATGACATAAGGGGCTTTATTGCCCTTATTGCAAAACAGGCCTCATTTAATCTTGATGATGACATAGTAATATGATTCTTCCAAGATGGTGCTATCAATATTTATTCCCCGAAATTTAGTGCAGTTGATGTTAGTAATTAATGAGTTGGTTGATGTAATTTGAATTTCTATTTCTCTATGCTTTTTTAGATAGAATTGTAAGAAATTTGTTTTATCACAACTTAGATTTAAGAAGTTCCTATTAAACCATGTCATTATTTCATTAATAACTGAAATAATATTACTTCTAAATTCTTCAAGACTCGAATTCGATATAATAATACTTGTGTCATCTGCAAATAAGAAATAATAGTGGTCCCAATATAGAGCCTATGGCCCTGAAGTCAATTTGGCCTGTAACAGAAATAAGTACTAGGAATCTTCCTGGGGGTAAGGGACAGCTGGTGCGTAAAGCTGATGACCTCACTGTCATCTGTGAGCCGACTGTTTAGAAAATGTTGGATCATTTCACAACCCTATGGGCCTCCATGGCCTGTTACATGTTACAGGGATAACTTCACCTTTATATCATGACTTATTATCCTTTGCATTTGTGAAAATATATTTTGACTGATCTGTAATAGTAATTAACAGGATATTAAAGTTTCACTTTATGAGAACTGTTATGTGTTTTAAGCATTTAACCTTTAATGCATGGACTTTTAAATTGCTGGGAGCCCTCTGCGGCCAGTATTTAAATCGCCCTAATTAACTGACATTGCAAACTTTCAGAAAAAATACATATTTTCCCTTCTATGCAACATAGAAATACAAACTAAAAACAGTCTGAAAGACAATAACATTTTCTACATATACTCAAAAGAGCTATTTTTACAAACGAAAATTAACTGTGATTATTTTGTCATGAAATGCAAAATATAATCTTTATTATATATGTTATGAAATTCCAAAGACTTACCCGTTGTTTTTTCTTCAACCTTGAATCATGGTGATATTGTAAATATAGTCACACTATATACAATAATATTTTGTTCAGACTGAACATGAGTTTGAACTGTGTCACAGTTTACGATACACTCTGACGCGGGCGGCGCTTGGCACTTCTCGAAGCATTCCACCTCACACAGAGTGTCACCACCCTTTTTACAATAGAAGAGGGTGCTCCTGCTTTTCTTATTTAGCAAAACACACGACAGTGTCTTTGTTTCTTTTGGTTAGCCAGTGTTGTGAATGTTTCACCTCCAGTCAACTCAGTTGGGCCCACTGATAACTTTGGCCTCCACCCGAGAAACGCCACTGACCATGATATTCGGCTTGTGCAATTGAAGAATCATCTTGGGGGAGGGGGATTTCTAGCAAAATCGAATAAATTATGTTGATTGACAAAGCTATACTCTCACCTATTAGTAAGACTTGCAAAATATTGATGCAAAGTAATTACAATATTAGTTGAAAAGAGTGCCAGTCCGACACATACTGAAAGTTGCAGTTGCGAAGATGCCTTTTACTCACAAAGTAATACTGGCTCAGTGGGTTTATACCTCTTCCAAGACACAAAATATAAATGATATATAAAGAAATATATGACAGTCCGACACTGACTTCCTGACTGATAATACACCACTGAAAACCAATCCTTGAATGCGTCAGACTTCCTTGAAGGCTCTGGAAGCACTCATCTGCAAGCACCGATGAATATTTCCTCATCACTTCTCGAAACGAAGCTGGGCAATATTTGGCTGACCAGGTCATAAACAGTCATATCTAAATGTAAATAGTATCAAAACCAGTACCAATATAAACGATTTCATTGTTATTCATTGAACCACTGACATGACCTCATGTAGGTTTGTTTTGGTTTGAAACCCAAGGTCAAACTGTCAGCACTCCCAAAGAGAGCACGAGTACTGTGTTAGATATATATAACATTTGGCCAACTCAGGATGCTGCTTGCGTCACATATATCTAGCATTCGGCCATTAAAGGTTAATATGATCCTAAAAAGTCAATGAGCATACTGAGAAATTTTATTATAGCAAACTCAAGTGAATATAATATTTGTTAATACAAAAATTTGCTAACATAAAATTTGTAAAAACAAATGTATGTGAAGTACTGCAAAGTATAGTGTTATGTATAACTTTTGTATCAATATGAAACTACCATAGTTTATTTTCCACACTTAGCATTTAAAAATCACAGAGCCATCTCATATCTGTGTACTTTGCAAATACATGACTAAAAGAAAAGCAATGAGTTTATTTAATGATGTTGCAAGCAGCTTAAACTATACAGCTTCAATTGGTATGATAGTTGGTGAATAATGAATTCAAAAGGATATGGAAGGAAGTGGCCATGACCTAATTTAAGGTACTATCCCAGCATTTGCCTGGAATGAATGATGGGGAAATAAAAATGGAAAACCTCATTTAGGACAATTTGTTCCCAGTCAAGATTCAAACTTCTAGAATATTTACTGCTTGAATCATCTTGCTCAATGAAAAACCATGAACTTATTCAGATAATCATCATATAATTTTCTTTTTCTAATGTAATTAAGCTAACTTAAACATCTGATTTATGAACAATTATTTTACAGACGCAGAACATGTCTCTGCAACATCAGAGGCGTCAGCAGCAACAGCACCATCAGCAGCAACACTATCACCACCACCATCACCATCACCAACATCATCCGGGTACTGGAAGTTGGTTGCCACAGTCAAGCAATAACAATAGTTCCGCCAACACAGTGGATAACCGCCGAATGTCAGAACCATGCCGAGGTGGATCAGACAGATCTACACCCCCTCCCCCTCGTCCTCACAGTGTTGTATTGCCTCCTATTGCACGAGGTCAAGAGCACCATCCTAATCAAGAAGTGGTTCTGGATGAAGTGGCTGAGGGAGAAATGGTAGAGAAGAACCTAGTGATTCCTGATGAAATGATGCACTTCCTTAGCCAAGTAAGTTTACCTTGCAGTCATCTGTGCAGATAACTAAACTGTTATATTGTAGGACACTGAGCTTGCTAAAATCCCTTTGAGAAAAATGAGTCAATTGGTTGATGCTGAAATGAAGCCCCAGTTTTAGGTTGTTATGACCAAGAGGTCAGAGTCCAAGTCCTTGTAGGTTCAAGAATTTTCATTTCTCCATGTCATCCAGACTGGCTCTGAGGCCTACCCAGTCTTTTATATGATGGGTACCTGGGGCTTTTTCCCCAGGGGTAAAGCAGCTGGGGAGTTGAACCACTCACCTCCATCTAGTGTCAACATCAAGAAAATGTAGGTCTATACATCCACTTCTCCATACGTCTTCATGGCATAGTACTTAATTAGTTAAGCACAGGGACAACTTTACCATTACCTTTACATTTATAATTATTAAATTATGTATTCTATCATCTTTGTTAAATAAATACATTATAATTCTGAAGACAAGCAATTCTGCCTATAGTCCCTGGGCATTTCTTTTAAAAAATCAAAACTAATTCATATACCTAATTTTTTTTTTAATTTGCTAAGTGGGGGGTGGAGTCCACCTGGGTCCACTCGGCACAGCGGCCACTGATTGGTCTATTGTAGCCTGCCTCAGGTGATTATGATGATGAAGAATTTGGCAGAATGAAGATTGGAAGGGGAAACCGAAGTACTCGGAGAAAACCTGCCCCAGCGCCACTTTGTCCACCACAAATTCCACTTGACCAGATCCGTGATCGAACCTGGGCTGCCATGGTGGGAAGCCAGCAACTAACCGCTTGAGCTATGATGCGGCCCAATTCATATACCTAACTAATTTAGACTAGTGCAGAGGAATATCCAAACAACATTTAGTAATATTCATATTTATACTACTTATGTAACCACCAGCTTGTGAGTCACATTGCTATAAAATGACCTAACTGTATTTTCTTCACATCAGTGATTTGTCTTTGCAATTAACTAAAATATTTTCACCATCTGTCTCTGCGTGTGGAATATTTTATCTCCAGACATATTTGAACATTTCCACTATGAAAATTCTAATCTTCAATTACTGAATTGCTTGACACAGAAACTCTTGAAGATGAATCTTAAAATCAGAAAATATTTCATGTAATGCGAAAATGAATATTCAGTATAATTACAAGGTCATATTTTGTTCAGAAATGATTTAGATATGCTTTTGCTTTCTGCAGGTTGCAGATCATACTAAGGATGAGAGTTCAAGTAGACCTACTGCCAACACAACCAACACTGCCCATGTGTTCCAGCTACCAGCCTGTAATAGCCATCAACAAGGAACCTTTGTTGGGAGCCATACAGGACAACAAATGCCAACTAATGACCCAGCAAGTCCTGTTGCACCTTACAATCAATCTGTACCAAGCTATCCTCTCTCAGTTCCTTCCAGTGGGTTCACAGGTCAGTCCATTCCAGCAAGCCCTGCATCTAGCAATGCTGCATACTGTCACTCAATGCCAGTAGCCAACAGCCCAGCACAGGGACCTCCCAGTGTCATTATGGGTCAATCTGCACATTTAAGCAATCCACATCAGAACGGTGGATTCAATAATGCAACATTGCCTGTGATGAATAGCCAGTGCCAGTCCATGATGAATGGCCCTGTGTCATGTCAATCAGTGCCAGGTGTGGGTTATAATGGGCCATCCATGCCTGTGGTAAATAATTCAGGTCACTGTCAGCCAATCATGAACAGTTCAGGACATTGTGGTTCTACTGCCCAAACAAATATGCCTGGGTTTATGGGTCCTGTAACCCCAATGGGGAATAATTCAACACAGTGCCATTCTATGCAAAGCCCAGCACAGGCTAATGCTGGATATCTTTGTCCATCAATGCCAACAAGTCCTGCAAATTGCTATGGTGCTGGAGGACACACCCCACAGCAGCTAAGTCAGCAGCCTCTCACAAGTCCTGCTGCAGGAGCTCCTGCCCCTCAGCAGGCTAGCAACTGCTGGCAGCAAAATCTGCCGATGATGCAAGCGGCTCAGATGTCACGTGGCAATGCAGTCTACCCCAGCACTGTCCCTATGCAGCACCATGACGGTTTGAATCAGCAAGCAGTTCAGTACAGTGGTTGCTATCAGCAGCAACCTCAACAGATGGCACCATGTGTAAACTGCACACACCACCATCAGCAATACCAGCAGCAGCCACATGCCAGCTGGAACAACTACAACCACCAGATGCCTCCACCACCATACCAGCAGCGATCACAGCAGTTCACAAATCCTCCATGTCCACAGTCCCTTCAGTGCAATAACACCACCAATCCTGGACTTATGGCCCCACCGGGCACATCCTGTAATCAGCCACAAAATCGACCTGCGTCTAATAGTGGACACAGTATTCATAATGTGTCATATCATTCACTTGGGAATAACAGTGTGACAGAAATTCAGTGTCGGGACATTAGCCAATCATCCCCAAATAATGGCAGTGTGGCTCAGACAAATGTGAATTCTGGCAATGTGCCATTAGTCACAGGTAATGTTAGAGGGATGAGGCAAGACACATACCAGAGAACGCTTGAATATGTGCAACAGTGTCAGTCCTGGGCAGGCAGTGACATGGTGTCCAGCAGTACACACCCTCTGGGCACTGGATCAGAAGCCTCCTCCCTTAAAGGTCCTTTACAAGGGTCCACATCGAACATGGTGATCAATGACATGACATCATCATTAACTTCATTGCTGGAGGAAAACAGATACTTACAGATGATTCAGTGAACATAAATATTCTTTCTAGTATCAGGACTGCAAAAATAATAGTTGCGAGAAGTTTCTGTTTGGACTTAAGACATGAGTTATAACTAGAATTGATTTATGGATCACACAGTATCACTTGTTAATTGTACTCAGGTAATTTATTACTTATACTTGCAATTCACTGATGTAAGACTTATACACAGTGTCCAAAAAGTCACTCTTGGGATTTTAGGAGGCTGCACTTTTTTAACCATTGTTTAAATAGAAAAAACATTGAAATGGAGGTTAAAAATAATTCTCAGTAAACTGCCACATGTTCTTTTTCACTGTACAAGAGATGTTCTTCTGAAATCAGTTATCAGCTAGATAACTGTTATCCCATGAGCATACACCAATAGAAACTTTCATTTCCATGTTCTGCTTTTCCTATATGTATAATAGTTAAGAATAGCCTGCTAAAGCCTCAGTGTGACTGTCTGTATGGCCTGTATTACTGCAAGGCGATACACATATTACTGCGTAAGTTTTCAGATTTTCTTAGTGTCGATTAGTACAACAGGATGCTACGATATAATATTATATTTCAGATTTTCACAGGAATGAGTGCTCATATTATGATCTCATGGATTATAATACTGCAATATGTCATAGACAGATAACAACATTTAGGAGGAGCATGCTGCGAATATCTTCATGGTTGAAGTGGTGTGGATGCAATCAAGTTATATACACTGATTATGAAGGATGTGTTCACCCAAATCTACAGATGGGTGGGGGGAGGTGAAGCTCAGTCTGAGCCAATAGGAATATGGAAGAGGAACTGTGAGAGAAAATTCAGCATGTACTAGGGATAAAAATAGTTACATTACAAATTTGATTTGTCTCATTCAGGTCGGTCACACTATTAATTACAAAGTGGATAATTTTCAGTCCAGTGTGACATACAAGTTCATAACACTTCAGTCTTTATTCACCTTACATGTTTTGATTCAAAAGAATCATCCTTAGAGGTGCACCACTACGATCAGGAAACACTGTTACATAAGATGTTTTAACAATATGCACTTAAGCACTCTTCAAAACAGTACAAACGACACAGCATGCATGTAAACTACATGACTAACAATAAGAACATACAATCAAGAGACATAAACGACATCTTCCACCATCAGGAGGAAAACAACATTACCCACTATTGGCTCACGATATTTTAACATAATAACTAACTTTTTACATACAAAAGAAATTTTAATACAATTTTAAATACATAGGGAAGCTACTGTATGGAAAAGTGAACATCATATCGCATACAGTGGGAAATCCCAATCAGAATACCCAGCAAATACGCTTAAAAGAAACAGCATCATACGTAAATCTACACTTCAAGAAGTGTCATCATGAATGCTTAAGGCAAACATCAAAACTAACTGTGATAATAACAAAAATTTATATAGCGAGCATTATTCATAGCTTAAGTGCATATTGTTAAAACATCTTATGTGACAGTGTTTCCTGATTGTAGTGGTGCACCTCTGAGGATGATTCTTTTGAATGGAAACATGTAAGGTGAATAAAGACTGAAGTGTTGTAAACTTGTATGTCACACCGGACTGAAAATTATCCACTTTGTAGTTACATTACAGATGGGGCATGGAATTGTGAGCCCAGTGTGAACCAATATAAATAGTTAATAAGAAACATGAGAAAAGTGGTCCTTAACAAGGACCAGATTTTCTTTTTTTGCTACAGGAGGGATGTAGAATGCGATAAGGGTAATTTTCTCATATTCCATGCCTCTACTGCAATGAAAATTATTCTGGTCACTAATGACACCCTTTCCCCTCCCTCACATTTCCTGTACCAGGCTCTGTTTCCTGTCCACATCCCAAGGATCTGACTGACCATATTCTTAGCAATCTGTCTAAATATCCTGACTGCATGCATCCTCACACCACTCACTTTGTTCCTAAAGACTGAAGCAGGATATTACTTTGAAATGTTGGTATCCACTACAATACTGCAGTGTCATAACAGCCAAGCAGAAAACAGACTGGACAGATGTAACTACATGTAGTTCAGATTCATGTCCTGCGTGAAGTCAGTCAAGTAATAAGTTCATGCTTTGTACTCCCTTTTTAAACAGGCCTTTTCATTGTATTGCTGTCTGTTGCAGTGATACTCTGCATACGATGAAGAAAGTCTTTTTAAAATGTCTCTGTTGAATGTTTCCTGGCACTTGACTTTTCTGATATAAATCATGAACCTGCATTTAAGAAATTCAAACTGGAGTTGAGCGTCTTTTTGTTATTCCTACCCCTAAAAAGTGACCAAGTTTTATACATATATACAGAGTGTCTCAGGAGGAATGTGCCAGACTTCAGGAGGGTGTTCCTTATGTTAAAGTATGCCAATATAACCCAAAATACCCATTTCCAAAGTTGAACGATTACGGAGATAATGGCCAGAGAAGTGTGAAACTTTGACCGGTGTTACACACTTGTTGATTACCAAATACATATTGAAACTGGCAGGAATATGTGGTCTCTGTAATGTTAATAATGTACGTAACATCAAACTAACTTGTGAGTGACATGAAGTCATTAAATTGAACTATAAAAAACTTGCACTCCCTGTTATAGTTGTCGTTAGGGTTCCAGGCACTATACATGACACATGAATGACAAGCACTGACATAACTTTGCTGACTGCACATTCTGTTATGCGATTGTATGCGGCTAGTGTGAGCCGTCATCACCCCACTCAAGGACAAACAGTGATAAGACTTGTCAGCTGACTGGTACAGCGTGTGGACCCGCCAGAAAACCACACTTTCTCGGGCCGTTATCTCTGTAACCATTCAACTTTGGACATAGGTGTTTTGGGTTATATCGGCATACTTTAACATAAGGAACACCCTCCAAAAGTCTGGCACATTCCTCCTGGGACATCCTGTATATATGCAAATGGAAGACAAGGGATATATTACCTTTCTAGTTCTGATTTCAGAATTAAAACAAAAGTCTTGAAACATATTCCAACAGTTTGAGAGAAGTCACCCAAGAATTAGTTTCCTACCAAAGGAACTAATAAGCTACAGTATTTTACAGTGGTATAATCAATCAACAAATGGAACTGTGGATCACATTTTAGCGTAGCCACTGGTTACTAGAGCCTGTTTAAAACATCTTTAAGGGTATGCTTCACTTTTGGTAGACAGTGTTACAGAACAGAAATCCTACTTATTCAACAAACTCTCTGGCATGGCAGTTTTGGTTTTTGTGTGCTTAAAATAGAATCTAGTAACTTTTCATGATGTAAATATCTCCATCACTAAGAATATAGTAACTTCTATGATAATGTATCGACTTACATCATTATATGATGATAATGATGCCCCCTCAGAAATGTTTTAGACACAGTATAGAATAGGTGCCCAAGTCCAGCAAACAGGTGACAACATTTTGTAACATCTAACCCTCAGTAGTAATAAGTTTGCCAAGAATGGCTGATGATAACTGCTGAAATGCATATTGACATTAATGTAATGCTCATGAGTGTATATTGCTTCTGAAAAGTAAATCTGCCATGATAAAAAACATAAAAATTGAAGTCTCCACTACCCCACCACTTCAGGGCTTCCATGACCATAAATGTTACATAGATCGGTGGTTCTCAACCTTTGTAAGATCGTGGCGCTAAATTCTTTTTTATGAAATGAGGGCCCGGTGGTTGAGAAAGACTGACATAGATGATGTACACTGAGCTGCTGTTAACATTATTTGGCAGTCAAAATGTCTGGAATGTTCTTCTCCATATGCCATGCTGAGCTTCAGTGCTGCACTACTGACTCCAGAGGAATACAAAGGATGTTGGATGTAGTTTAATGATGTTACTGTTACTGTGATTAGAGATGAACTGATTATATTGCAAATCTGGTACCTGTGTCCTTCCCTATTTTAACCCCACTTGAATACAGACTTTCCTTACAAACACTGTGGCTCAGTTTGCCACCTGCTTTCACGCTGGTATCTTGCTCAGCATATTCGACCCTGAAGATGGAGGTGATGTGTTCCCCAAAATGTTGGTCGACTTTCAACGGCCTACACAACGTTATATCCCAGAACCAAGTACTCTTCACCATGACCCTTCATATCAATGACACTAACCTATATAATTCAATATTAAATACTTCTTGTATTAATATTCTTACACTTTTGTTTTTAAACAATGTTTTTACATGTAAGATTTGTGGTTTTCATGGCGGTGACTATGAAGAAAGCAGTCTTCTGGGATTTGGCACCGTGTATATGTGGTGTTAACCGACCTAGTACCAGTTCTTACGGTCTCTTCGCCTGCGGATTTCTTATATTTTTCCTTCTACCCTGAAGATGGAGGCGATACGTTCCTCC